TTCACAAAGACGGACGCCCCTATTACAAAACCTACCTATTGTATTTATTGTTAATTTGTTCTCGTCCTGAATATGCATGAAATATTTGCCACTGGAGTTAAGCAACCAACAATCAATCAATCAATTAAACTATTGTGTGTTGACTGTATGCATGATCTTCCTTCAACCCATACCAATAACCATTAAAGCTCTTAAATAAAATATGTTTCACATTAATGCAATATCTTCTTTCAAATCTGATATACAAGTTTTCATTTGCAACCAAATGATTCTGACGGTTCTTCTATATCTGTTTTCTTTGATGATTCCACAGCTTATACTTATGAGAGCTAGGCTATAACACGATACCAGTCCATTTTGTTCAAGGTTAACCTCGTGATGGTAAGAACAAATTACTTCAATATTTACGAAGTACTTGCAACATAAATTAAATTTTACTTCTAATTATTTATATATAAAAATAAGGAGATGTGGTATGATTGACAACTATTGACAACTATCCACCAAAGTTCAACTAAATTGGATGTAAGCAATTATAGGCAACCGTACGGACTTCAACAATGAGAAATACCCATACCGTATAGTCGGTAAATAAAGGCCTCAACATGAAAACTATGAAACAATGCAATTGCGAAAACTAACGGCCTAAATCATAATAAAACATGCAGGCATGTTTCATGTATATACATGTACATTTTGCATTAAGCAATCCACATGGCATACATCATTAATCGAAGGTTTTGAAATAAACATGTTTATGATTCCTTAAAATTTAAAGTACACTCAGCAATCCTTAATTCAAAGTCTGGGTTTCAGTTTCCCACATCTTCGACTGTAACAGTGTGGCTCTTCTCACTTTCTCATGACATGCTCTTTCTTGCTTGGCCTTTGCTGTAAAATTCATTACAAGATCAACCGAGGATCATGTTTTAGGTTTCCATGTGAATCCATCTATTCTATTTATTTATGACACTAGCATGCTGCCTAAAAGTTCTACATGTGTAAATGTTTAATATATGCCAAGTGATCACCACCAGTCAGCGGTAAGCTCTCTGAACTACCAGAAGTTGTTTATTTGAATTGTTTGACTTTAGTAAGGGTTATTCTATTAAAACATACACCCCACCCAAGAATGGGCTAACTATGCAATAGCCGTAATACATAATTTTCGATAACATCATTCATATTGATACGTTTAGATCTTTATGTGTGCAATATTTTCCTTTTTCAAATGAAGTTTGTTGTAATATTACACCTTTGGCTCAAATATATGAACCATTATGTTACTGTTAAGAATATGCTAAACAAAAATAAAAAATAAAATTACAAAAATACTGAACTCCGAGGAAAATTCAAAAAGGAAAGTCCCTTATCAAATGGCAAAATCAAAAAACGAATGGATAACAACTGTCATATTCCTAAAATAGCGACGCCAGTAATGCGTGTTTATGTGTTTGAATGCTTAATTGTACTGTTTATAATAGCATACTTTATATATATGACGAGTTCTGTTTTTAGTAATCACTCAGTGCAATAACATGAGCATTTTGTATATTATTTTACTATTGTTATTATTTTCCAGAATAAATTCATGAAAAAGAAAAAGCAAGTTCTCAATTCAGTAAATTATATAAGACCAATGTATACATGGTATAGGCAATGTCCCATTTTGCATCAGTTTTGGGTAATGAGCGACATGTTTAACTTTAAAGCTAACCTGGCCCACAGGGTCAAGTGAGATTTTCTCATCACTTGGCGTTCGTTAACCTTTTTAACATTTCGAAATTCTTCTTGAGACCCACTGATAGATTGAAACCAATCATGGTACGAATAATCCGTATGAGGTGCTGATCAAGTGTTGCTACTTTGTTTCCGATCTGTCATCCAAGATGACCGCCAGCAGGGACTTAGTTTAATATAGGACTTTATGGTCGTGTGCAACTGCCCCCCAAGGGTGACTGGGGAATAGAAATATGGTCACCATTGGTCTTCCTCCGACCGGCGGTAAAACCCTCGCTAAAGTGTGGCGTCCGTTTGGCTGTGCGGGATGTACAAATTTGCAGCCACGTCCGGTCAGAATGGGGACGTTAAATCCGATGCCTCGTGTAAAGAGAGTGCCACGCTCTTTGCACGTTAAGAACCCTCGCAACAAGACTTTGAGGGGTCCGTAGGTGACCTGTTGCAAGGCTAAATTTCTGTCCCTATCCATTATACCCTCATTTCCCGTGGCAGTCTAAATTTCTCCGACCTTAATCCCGGACGCCCCTATTACAGAACTTACCTATTGTATTTATTGTGAACTTGTTCTCGTCCTGAAAATACATGAAATATTTGCCACTGGACGTTAAGCAACCAACAATCAATCAATCGTGTGCAACTGAGCTTTTACATTACAGAAAACTGTGGCGTGAATTGTTTTTATTTCACTTTCGAATGATTGTGTAGTTCTGAAAATCATGAATAGTAATTATTTGATATTTTGTCATTTCCTGTAACCCTCTATCTTTTACACTGTTAACACCATATGTTTTCTTTCTAACGGCAGTAAAAATTTGTGATGGACGTCTAAAACATGTGTCCTTAGCACATCTGCACGTTTGCTTAATTCTATCAAAATTGCGTCTAAACGATTTTCTTTTTATGTCTGTTTGTCTACAAAGAGTTTCAACATCGGATGCTGGAAACCATTATATCTCTCCACCCTATGTTTTAATTTATGAGAGCAGTTTGATTTGATGTTTCTTTTAAGAACTGTCCCTTTTTCTGTTACGCGTTTTCGTTTTATTGCACCCATTGTTGGCAATCTTACCAACTTTTCCCCAATATGATATATGCTTGGTGGATTTCTTGCCAGCATTTTGTAAAGATTTTGTCGGCTTTGTTATTGAAATGTATTTTTGCCTGTTCTTTTCCTCCCCCATCGCAAGGGTGACTGGGATATAGAAATATGGTCACAATTGGTCTTCCTTCGACCGGCAGTAAAACCCTCGTCAAAGTGGGGCGCCCCGTCCGTTTGGCTGAGCGGGATTACAACTTTGCAGCCTCGTCCGGTCAAAATGGGAAGTTAAATCCGTGCCACGCTCTTTGCACGTTTAGAACCCTTGTAAAAACATTAATATTGACAATAATTTTGATTATTAAATGCAATTAAAAAGTTATGTCTTTCCTCTTTTCAATATTACGTGTGTAAGTCCTACATATAAAATTTCCACTTTTTTCTGTGATTTTTATTTCCTTGAACAAGTAGGCCCATGATCATGGTACATATAGATGAAATGGGTTTTCGTATACTCTGAAAAGGTATTACACATTTGTAGCAATTAACAAGTTCCCTCCTTTCGTGGTGTGTAGTGGTAACTTAGAAAGTTTTTCAGTGGTAAACAGACCGGAGGGAAGTTTATGTTTTGAATTATCATGACTATCCCAATTTATCAAGGATGACATAACACAATACTTTACATACAAATACAAGAACAGAGTTCCAATGTCCCCCGAGTTGCACATAGTTTATCTTTCCAAGGTACAGGAGCAATAACTAAAAAATACACTTTTTTGTGTTCTTTAAAATTGTTCATAAATATCTTAGAGAAACGAATGCTTCAGATCAAATTCAATGTGATTTCCGATATAATTAATATTTCCAAGGACATAACTTGTTAAAACTATTTGATCCGCACCTATTTTCGAAAGTTATAAAAGACATTGCTGGTATAAACCTATGATATTCTTAGATCCGGACATCCGGGTAATTTCGGCAAATTATCTCCCCTTAATTGTTGTCGTTAAGGTGGAGGTATAATATTGAAGAAGTCTACCATCTATCAACCTTGTTATCAACCTCAACTTGATTGGTTGATACAACCTCAATCTGATTGGTTGATTCACAACAAGCTGAATTTTATAACCATGTTTCTGATTGGTTAATGAAAAAAATGTAAACAAATAATATATAAATAATCAACATTTAACACGCGGATGAGTGATGTCAAGAAGTATAGATTATTACATGGCATTTTTCATATCAGATCCTTTATCGGCCCTAGGTCATGATATCAGCCCAAGAGCCGTAGGCTCGAGGGCTGATATCATGAACGAGGGCCGATAAAGGGTCTGATATGATAAATGACATGTAATTATCTTTTTATCATATACTTCAACAGAAGAAATACAGACAAGAACTATTAATTAAAATTTTGTCTTTCCATGAATTTTTAGATAATAATTTACAGACAACCAAATACAAATTTCTTAACTTTAATTATTTTTATTGATATTACAAGCATTTTATTTATCTTGTCACAACAGTTATCATGAACTTAGTTTGAAAATATGCTCCTCAACCATTTTGTGAAAAGTCTTAAATCGCTTGCGGTTTTCCGCTCTGTGTTGTCGTTTTCGAACAAATTTCCGGAAATGCACGACGTTGCATGTGATAAACGTCACGGAAATTAACGGAAAGGCATGTGATAACATTCCGGAAGCAGTCAATAAAGGTTCCTTTATCAGCCCGCTGAGGAAATTCTTAGGAATCTGATCAATAAACCTAGTAATCCTTTCAAAGCCTTTTAATATTTTTAAATGTTATTGAACTGTAAAATTTTAGTAATATTTTATACAAGTATATGATAAAGGTATATATTTTATTTATGTTATGTTAGATATTTTGTTTAAGTTTAAAATAGGTATAAAGTTTATTTATGTTATGTTAAATATTTTGTTTAAGTTTAACGATGGCGATGGCGATGTGGTCAAGAAACTTTAAAGAAATGTTTTCTATCGGTTGCTTTTTACATTGTAATATATATTTTTTTCTAAATCCCGGTTTTATTATCTCATTACTCTTATGAAAAGACTCAGCAGATCTTTGTCCTTGTTTGTTGTAAGTGTTTTGGCATAGCTTCTTTCAGTTAGATATGTGTGTATATATGGACCATGCCATCTAACAACTTCATACCTATCTAACAAGTAACCTTAGTCTAAACAGACCATACCTATCTAACAACCTCAGTCTATACAGACCACACCTATCTAACAACCTCAGTCTATACAGACCATTCCTATCTAACAATCTCAGTCTATACACACCATACCAATCTAACAACCTCAGTCTATACAGACCATACCTATATAACAACCTCAGTCTATTCACACCATTCCTATCTAACAACCTCAGTCTATACAGACCATCTCTATCTAACAACCTCAGTCTATACAGACCATTTCTATCTAACAACCTCAGTCTATACAGATCATACATATCTAACAACCTCAGTCTATACACACTATATCTATATAACAACCTCAATCTATATAGACCATTCCTATCTAACAACCTCAATCTATACAGACCATTCCTATCTAACAACCTCATCATAATTACAATTTTCTTACATAAAAAATGTGCATGTATAGGTCTTTAATTTAATCTCAAGACAGTTTACACTGTAAGAAGAGGTACATAACTAATGCAAATGACATAATACATTGGTGAATAAGATAAAAAAAATAACAGAACAAAACATTTTCAATGGTGGACAATTTGTAATGTATGTGACTATGTACAATGCCTCTACAATCATGTAATTTGTCCGTTTGGTAGATGTTAACTGTAACTAGGGGAAATTTAGTCGTGGGATTTACATTGAATAAGATTGGAAACGGGGAATATGTCAAAGAGACAACAACCCGACCAAAACGTACAAAACAACTCAAGGCCACCAACGGGTCTTCAACATGCGAGAAATCCCGCAACCAGAGGAGGTCTTGAGCAGGCCCCGAAATCCTAATGTATACTAGATCAAGAAAATGGACGCCACTCTACACTTCGAAACACAGAAATGAACTAAAAGTAACAAATATATACAAGACTAACAAAGGCTATAAGTTCCTGACTTAGGACAGATGCAGATGTTTGTGAAAAGTAAGTCTACCTATATATGCTACATATAAATAGATCATAGATATTTTACTACTTTTTTATTGAAATAATAACTAACTTTAACATTACATAGAGATACCAATCCATTTCATTTTTTTTCACTAGGGGTTACAGTATTATAGTTGGGTATATATCTACTTATTAAAGTCATAACATTACCATTATTGCAGTCAAACATACAATGAAACTGATTACTATTACATAAAGTACCTAAACTTTGTTGTCAAGGAACACAACAGTGACCAGTTTCTATGGGTGATTTGAATGATAAATATTGTAGATTGTACAATAACTGGTACAAAGACCAGAACGTTTGGCATTGTTTGTTAATAGTTATGACCAAAATGATAATATTCTCAATTGTAATTTAATTTTTAAAGGATTTCTTCCTCTTTCACCATACACCCTAAAACTGGGTGTACATATTTGTAATGATAAAGCTTTTTTCTAAAATTTTCGTGCCTCCTTTCTAAGATCTTAAATTCAACACCCCAAATTTCACAAAAATATAACAGTAAAGGTTGAATTAATGATTCGATTAGCTACAGTTGCTTGTCAACAAGAATATGCAAATTGCAAACAGTGCCTATTCTGCTTGATCAACCATTTCTTTCTTTGCATCTTGACTGATAGTTTTGGGGACATAAAGTTGTGGTCATTCAAAATGTAGTTAGTTCTTGGATTTTTTAAATAAGGGTATTTCACACTGCTTTGCCCTCCGCCATGTGTGACTGCTAAAAGGTATCTCCTGAAGTTAATTCCAATTTTTAATTCATCCTTTGAAGGTAATTTCTGAAAAAAAAAAGTAAATGATTTTTTAAAGAAAAATACCAAAGTCCTGAAAATATGCATTCATGTATCAATTAATATGAAAAGCTTGGACACTGAAAAGAAAAGGAAAATTGCAAATTGAAGTTAAATTACGAATTATATCACTCTTAGATGGTGAAAAATCAATTCCTAGATTATCAACCTAATTCATAAAATTGAGAGAGGCAAGTGAATTTTTCTAAAATCAAAAATGGAAAAAGTAAAAGTGCTTATTATTGTGTCACACAGCTGATAACTTCCATTATTTCTATTAAAAAAAAACTCATAATCTGCTTATTGTACAAATTCTGTTCATTTATAAATCACCATAATCATATACATTTTTTGTTTGTTGAAGTTCATATTGACTAAAGTGTTCATCAGGAATCAAAGTTAATATATGTCTCTCCTGTATGCCTCTATATATACATATCATTTGGCTTTATTTCCCCTGGATTCCCATTTCTGTATTCCCTTCTAACATAGCTGTTATTTTGTGAGATAAATATTTTTTTAACCTCTTGATCAATTTGAAGCAAATTATACAGGACAAAACATCCACATTCCTTTGAATTATCTTGGATAGGTCCCTGAAATAAAATTATATAAAAATATTTGTAATGAAATTTTTCCAGTGAATTTTATCTTAAAACTATTCCATGACTGATGGTAAAGAAGGCATTTTCAAAAGATCTGCCTTAACAATTATAGGAAATAATAAATAAGTTTTATATACATGGTATGGTAAAATAAAAAGTCTCAAATGCTAAAAATAAATAGTTTCAGCCCATACAATGAAAATGAAGTCTTAGGTTGGCATTGTTGATCTACTTTCAGGACTTATAGAATAGAATAGAATAGAATAGAATAATTTTATTTCCCAAATTACAGGGCCTCTAAAGGGCATACAAATCAGTTACAATTGATTGACATGATTATATATATAGCGAATATGATGTTTCATAGAAATATATTAATTAAGAGAGCTTTTTCTTCTTTTTCAATAATCAAATATATTTCTCAACTTGAGAAAGATGACAACATAATTTCTGTTCTTAACCAATACAAGATATACTTACATCCTTGTATAAAAAGTTTAAATGGCATAATTTTCCAATTGCTTTAAGGAATTTTTTAACAACTGGAATTACTTCTTCCATAGACTTTCTATCATCCAGTGAATCAACAACATAAACTCTGTAAGATAATATTAATTAATGACTTATTACGTTTGAGCTCAGCTATAGCACCAATAATAAAACATGCTTACATCTTTAAGGGGAGTACTTTTATATATAGCAAACAATTTATTGAAATTACAAATTACAAAAATTACCATACCATATATATTTTTGCAAGTGGATAGGTTTATTTTGTTAAATTTTATTTAAAAATGTAGCTGTTCCTACAACAGAATATTTTGACAAATAAAACTAAAAGGAATTTGAAACAACTGAATCAAATGTATGTAACATCTATATAATTGTTAATATCTGTCTCAAGTCAAATTAGAGCAAATGGGCTTCACAAATATCAAAATGAATTCATTCTCAATAAAATAGTTAACTCAAACTTACCTTTATTCTTCAAGATTTATTTCCACAGCTACCCAATGCCAATAACTGTCAGGATAAAAATAAAAGTAAACATTATAAAAGATTTCAATATATTGTAAGATAACCTTGATATTTTTATTACAATGATGACATTCTCTAATTATCAAATAAGCATGATTTTTGTTTGTTCTATATTTGTTTACATAAGTCAGACCATTGTTTTTTTTCTTATGATTTATATGAATAAACAATAATTCAAGTACCAATTCAATTTTCAATATACAAATCTTTGGACAGAACTTGAATAGATTAAGTTTATTTTCAACCATATATGAACCTAAAATATTTCTAAGTAAGTGTACCCGTGCATTTTCTTGCATGATGAAACTTATTTTAGAACATATTTATAAATTAATGTAACAAAATATGGGTGCAGAAAAGGACCCTTATTATATTTTTTTTTTGTAGAGCCTTATTTATGGAAATAATGCCTACAGTGTCAAAATTCTGCTGTGTTGAATTCCTCAGTGGTAAATGCTATATTCAAACTTTATTTTGGGAATTTCTCGCTGCATTGAAGACCTGTTGGTGGCCTTCTGCTGTTGTCTGTTCTGTGGTCGGGTTGTTGTCTCTTTGACACATTCCCCATTTCCATTCTCAATTTTATTTACCATGACAAATTTGGAAAAAAAAAATATTCTATTCTAGAAAAAAAAGAAATAAAACAAATCGTATTTTTTGGGCAAACTCACATTTACCTGGTTGTACATTATTTAAATATAGATGTTGGCAACAAATACATTGATATCACCCAATACCATAATATTTCAGATGCGGTATTAAAAGTACAAGAAGTTAAAAAAAAATACCTGCAATGAAATGGAAAGAGGATTCTATTGGGCCAGTTTGTTCTCCCATATGCGTTGGTCAAACTTTTCCTAGATGATTCTTCCTTTTCTTCAGGGTGTTTCCTGACAGCCTCAAGTGCATAGGTAGGGATAATACAAACACTGGCATCGAATATTCTCATATTTTGTACTGTGTAGCTAGCAAAATTAATGTAACAATTAAAGCTTATTTAAAATGCTGTATAAATAAAACTATGAATTGATTTGCTAAAATGATTTGTTATTAACTGCAAAGTAAAAAAAGCTTACAATAAGGTGTAGGTGTTTGTTCATTGTTAAAGATTGTATGGTGATAAATATTCAGTTTTATGGCAGTCATTCTTTTGGGTTTGTTGTCTTTTTTATAAATCTTTGTTTATCAGGTGATCTCTATTCAAAAATACTTCAAAAGAAAAAAAAGAGTACAATTTTAAAAATATGCACAGCACTTGTGGTAGGGGTTTTCCAGAAGAAAACTAAAGGGGTCTTCCAAAGCATTATTTTCTTCCAAACGGAATATGAATAAGCCCTCACCATGTGAACAGATACAAGTATATTGATTTGATCATTAACCTGCAGAAATTTTAAAGCAAATGCCTTCATTACCACTACTACCAGAAATTTCTTTTTAATTAACCTTAGTTTTTAATGTGAGACTAAACTAATAAATTTGTCGCTGCATACAGTTATTACTGTATACAAGGAAATGTTTGTTGGGAATTAAATTTTGTTTATTATTTGGATAAAAAGGATCAACACCTAAATAATGCTTTTACAGTATACAGGCTTATTTTACATTTTCATTAATGGTCAAAAGTAAAAGCAAAACTTTTAAATTTCTCAGTTATCATACATGTATAACATGTCTGGTATTTTATCTGAAAGAAACCCTAGTGATTCACTTCTCTGCAATTTTGCCCCCTCTGGTATAGTGGTCTTATTGACAATCATACCATATATCCTTATTTTTATTCAATCTATATGTTAAATTCTTCTGATTGGTTATAAAGATTTGTTAATGTGTCTTCCTTAGCAAACTTCTAATGAAATCAAAGGGAAATTTTTGGAAATTACAAATAAAATATTTTAAAAACTGCAAACAGAAATATTTTTCAATCAATAATGTTGAACTTTTACTTGCTTGAATCAATTAAAAAAATAAATGATTAAAAGAAGGTTGTTGATTGCTGCATTTTTTTCATAAGATCTTACTTTGGATTTTTAACTTGGTCCAGTGGTAAAAAGCAGTCAAAACGAAATTGACCCTCATTGATATATCCATAGTTAAGACCAATACATCTTGCATGGGTCAAGGTATAACATTTGGTGCACCCAATCCAGTTAATGTTACCACTATCATCATCATCATCATCATCATCAGGGTTACATTCCTGCACAACACAGCCACCAAAGAACCTTGCTGTGCAAAAGTCAATGTCTACCAGAGGCAGAGTTGGCTTGTGTACATTTGGACGTCTAACATCTTGAAAATAAGAACTCAAAAGTAATGACCACAGCCAATTACAAATGATTAAAGTCCATAAACATGTATAAAACATCTAGATAGTATACTAAAGTAAATATAATACAACCTTTAATTTTCTAAAAAAAAAAAACAGTTGGTTCAAGTAATTCAAATATAAGGCTTTTTTGGTATTCCAGAATGTTAAAAAATTTGTAATTTTCATATTAAAGTTTTAAAATAATAATCTCATAGGGAAATATTCATCTATTTGTTGAAAAGTATATTATTTAAATATTCAAATCATCTTTGCAAGTAATGTTGTTTGGTTTTTTTCAATTATTTGGAGAAAATTTACACTTGCCCTAGGAAACAAGAACTAGAATACTGAATATAGATTGTTTAAGTTTTAAGACTGTATTAAAAAACAATGAAGTTTTCATAAATTTTATAAAAAAAAACTTACCTCTAACTTTCAGCAATCGCACAACATGGTTCATTTGAATGGAAGTTGCATTGAACTTTACCCACAAAACATTTAAAGTATGTGGGCTATCCCCTTCTTGGCATGGACATGGAGGCAGGCAAATATATCCATAGCGTTTAATTTCCTACCAAGTGCACCAGCCATAAACAGAATCTGTAGCAAACCTACAAAAAAGAATGATTATTCATTAAGGTGCCATGGACTACATTAACAATAAAAATTCTATTATGTCAACATTTAAAGCACTTTGTACTGTAAGATCAATGCATACTATTTAAAAACAGTACTATGTATATATTCCAAAACTGTTTAATTAAAATTTTAGAGTAGACTATATAAGAACCAGCATTAATAAAATGTGCAATATAGCTTATAAGAATTTACATGCTATTCAACAATCCATCAGTCTCAGTGAATTTTAAAGGAATAGTACTTGTATTACATAAACATTGAAATTGGTGATGTGGGAAAATCTCAAAGTATATATGCATCCTAGATTAGACCAGTGGAGGGGGATTGCAACTTTTATTTTCAACTAAATGGGATAATTCAATGCTGAGATTAAAACACTCAAAGATTTTGAATGACACTAAGATAATTACAGATTTTTCAAAGTTTCTATAATAAAAACATAAATTACCACAGTCTTGGTTTAATTTTTCTGTTTCCATAAACTCAGATCGAATTGTATGTTCTATATATCTCAATGAAGGCTGGTTGACTGGTCTATTCTTAAATGTACTGTCAGTGCTGACAGTACACATAAACTGTGTTGCCTCATCCTCTGTTTTCAGTTCATTATTATATTATCAAAAGAGTGAATTAGATATTACATTAAGATTATTGAATCTACATTTTTAAATATTAGATAACTGTATGCATAGCAGATTTGTATATCTTACAAGAAGTGAAAATACCATAAGACCAGATGAAATGCACTTTTAAAATATAATATAAAATTATCCCAATGAAATGGAAAGAGCATAGTGCCCAATTGTCTATTTGTACCATGAAAAAGATTTTTTTATAATTATACATGCATATAAGAAACCGGTTACATAACCCAAGGGTGACTGGGGAATAGAAATATGGTCACTACAGGTCTTCTTCCGACCGGCAGTAGAACCCTTGCCAAAGTGGGGCGTCCGTTTGGTTGTGCGGGATGTACAAGTACGCAGCCACGTCCGGTCAGAATGGGGACGTTAAATCCGATGCCTCGTGTAAAGAGAGTGTCACGCTCTTTGCACGTTAAGACTTTTACATAAAAAAATTTAAATTTTACAAACACAACATTCTCTTCTTGTTTTTATGTACAGTGAGAAATATCAGTATTTAGTTCAAATAACAGTGAAAACTTGTTAAATTTCAGATACCATGCACTGTGATATTATAATAGAAATGATGCTATACAGACATTTAAAAAAAAACAGTACTCAAGAGAAACTGCAAATATTATTTATATGTATTTTCAAGTCAACTGAATTTAGCCATCATATTAAGGTTTAATTTTGTAGAATTTACCTTTTATGCTTGTCAATGCCAGGTATATCATTGTAAGACATTGGTGTCATAGGCAAATTTATTAACTTGTTTGGGTCTGTACTCTGGCAAATCGTCAAGAAAGATCAAGGAACCCAGTACTTTTTCCTCTAGACTCTTCACCTAAAAGAAATAATCTTGATGTTGAAGGTTTCAATATATATATCAGTATAGTTGGAATATAATTTGCTTCACAGCACAATATTAAAAACAAATATATTTTCATATTTTTTAAGAAATTAAAGTTCTTTTAATAACAATTTCTATTACTTTCTCACTAACAAAAAAACACACAGCATTATCAACAATTACCCCCCTTATTATTGTGTACATGTGTTTCAAACATGAACACCTAAGATAATTATGTAGTCCGAGGCAATATTTACAAGGTGCCATCTGATCTTTGTTAAAAAATATCAAAACAGTACGTGATATTCTTATGAGTGAATACAAAAATCCATACCATTCTAATTTCTGTACTTGGTCCAAAAAGTTAACATAAGAATTTTAAGTTTCAAGAATTGTCAGCATATATCATATATTAAATTCTTTCTGATGTAAAACAGACTTACAGTTTGGTTTCCTTTACTTGGTCCTAGTTGATTTACTTCAAAATCACTATGAATAACGACATTAATCTGGAAATAGAAAATATAATGTGTGTGACAAGATGTTCAATTTCACAACCATTCCTATACAGTAAAATGGAATATAAGATATAAATAATACTTATTAGCCAGCTGTTTATGTAGTATTTTTTTTAATTTTTAAGAGTATAGATATTAAAATTAACTGATTTACATTTATCACAATTGCCTCTAACCATCATAGCAGAACTTACTTGTTCTTCTGGTGACTATTCATGAACTTTCAACCTTAAAAAAATAATGGTATATTTTTAAAAATAACCAGTTAATATCACTTCAATATTCACTTTAATAATAAAAATGCAGTTATAACTTTTCAGAAAGCACTTGAACGGCAGACTAAGCGAGTGCCTACTCATGTGGTGCATACTGTTGACAGTGCAAGCGTTATGTAAAGACAGTTTTGTTGACTATAAGGAACTTTTTCCCCTATGTAATTCATTTAAAAACTATGCCAAAATATAGCATCTTTAATATGAAAAGACAGTTATACAGAAAGTATAATAATTGACAGTCAGTATTATAATAATAAGATAATGTTGTGTTTACCGTTGACTGCAATAAAGTATCCTCAGTTGAAGACATAGTGCACCCCTTTCCGTTCATTCGGTCATTCATTCCACCATAGTCTTTAACCTAGTCACGTATTTTTGCATAGTCAATGATAAACTCAATATAATTCTATAATTAATAGAAAGTCCCAAACCATAGTGGTTTAGAGATCTAAATGGTTACACGGAAAATTCATGGCTGAATGGTGTCAAAGGGAACATGATGGAGTATAACTTTAATAACTCATCATATATAAAAGCCCAACAAATTAACGATCTCATTAGTGTTATAATTTACCTCTAATTATCTTAAAAATTGTATAATCTTTAAACGGAAATTTGCCCCTGTTACCATTTATATTTATCTTTGACATCAGCTCATTTGTCATCACCCTGAAAACAGAGTAAAAAAAATATATAAATTATGTAATCAAATAAGTAAAGAAATGAATTACACAGTGCACAGCTA